TGTTTGTTGGGGGTCCCAACCAGCAGTGCTTCAGGGCTATCCCAGCATGAAGTTCGGGGGCTCTCCCACATTGCTGGGGGACTAGGTGGTGCTGAGTATCTTACCCTTGAGGCCCTGCAGGTGAAATCCATGCTCCAGCTCTTTGAGGCACCCCTGCGCCCTAGGATAGGTAGTTGTGAACCCAAGGGAGCTGGGCCAGGTAGGTCAGCGAACAATTATTTATATTAATTATTTATTTTGTCATTGTCACTGTCCTCTCATTGTTCATCGATTTGCTTGAGTGGGCACAGTAATGTCTCCATTGTGACAATTGTTACTGTATTTGGCATATCGAATACGTCACGGGGAGCTTGCCAGGCTTTGCCCTGTGGGCGAGATACTCTCGGTAGCTTGCCGGGCTCTCCGAGAGGGGCGGAGGAATCGAACTCAGGTCGGCCATGTTGGCCTCTTGCAAGGCAAATGCCCTACCTGCTGTGCTATCACTCCAGCCCATTATTTATATTAAAATTAAAAGGTAAAGGTAGAGGCCCTCCCGTTGATCGTCGATTTGCTCGAGCGGGCCCAGTAACGTCTCCATTGGAGACTTTGTTGTTACTGTGTCTGGCATATCGAATACTCTCGGTAGCTTGCCAGGCTCTCCGAGAGGGGCAGAGGAATCGAACTCGGGTCGGCCATGTTGGCTGCGTGTAAGGCGAACGCCCTACCACTGTGCTATCGCTCCAGCCCTTATATTTCTGTGGGGCAGCCATTGATTAGCTTTTTGCCCTTGGCAGGTACCATTCAGGGCCTCAAGGCCAGGGATGTGGTTCAGGGGTAGACTACTTGCCTTGTACATGTGAGACCCTGGTTACAGTTCCCAGAACCACCCTAAACCCCCAACGAACAATAATTAAGCCTCATCTTATTATTTGCAAAATGATGGTAAAACTCAACACTTCAGGCTGCAGAGACACTGGCTTTGCATCCAGGAGACCTGGGGTCCATCCCCACCACCCCAAGGGTCCCAAGCACCACCAGAAGCACCTCCGGCATCATTTGGGTATGGCCCCAAGACATCAGCCCTCTTTCCCGAAAGCATATCACAGAACCTTGTAATGACAGAGCAGTGTTAAAGGGGACAGCTCCTGCTTGCTGGGCTGTGGAGTGCTTTAGACGTCCTTTCTCATCTGAACAGGCAGGGCCAGAAGAGCAAGCACGAGGTCTGGTTCAGGGATCACAGCAGCCGCCTGAGCTGTGATGGCGCCTGAGCTGTGTACTTTACTCCAGATGTTCTTTGAAAAAAAAAAATAAAATTTAATGAAAGTTTACAAAGTTATTGATAGTTAAGTCTTTTTTTAAAAAATGTTTTGGTCACACTTAGCAATGTTTAGTGGTTACTCCTGGCTCTGCACTCAGGAATTACTTTTGGTGGTGCTTGGGGAACCATATGGGATGATAGAGATCGAACCCGGATCAGCCGCATGCAAGGCAAGCGCCCTGCCTGCTGTACTATCTCTCTGACCCTGATAGATGAGTCTTCCAACACCGCTAGTGTCCCCATGCTCCCCGTCTGCCCACCTGCCACTCTGACAGGCGCATTTCGAAGTTCAGTGGTTGTAGTTTGGATCTCATGCTTTGTGGTTTGAGCCTGTGCTTTGGATAAAGAGCTACCCCTCTCACACCAGCAGGGCACCCAAGGCTCCTGTTCCACTACCATTTCCCTTTCTCATTTTCTTTCATCTCCCTTGACTAACTTCCCTTCTCCCTGTACTCTAGGGTCCAGGGTGATCTATGGGTTTGGGGCCACTCCTGGAAGTACTCAGAGCTTACTCCTGGCTCTGTGCTCAGGATCACACCTAGTAGAGCTCTGGGGACCATATGGGATGCTGGGGATCGAACCTGGGTCAGCCATGTGCAAGACAAACACCCTACCACTGTAGTATCGCTCCAGCCCTCACCTTGAGGTGGTTCTAACCCCAGCCACTGTGTCTAAAGGCAGGACAGATGCCATCATGAGAGACAGTGGATTAAGGAGTGCTGAATCATCAGGCCTCACAGACCTCAGTGGTTTTGCTCACGAAATCAAGTTAGTGAGTCTGCAAAAACATTTGCTTTTATCCTTTACACTGGGGATACGACGATTTTTTTTTTCCTTTTTGGGTCGCACCCAGTGATGCACAGGGGTTATTCATGGCTTACTCCTGGAGGTGCTCAGGGCACCATATGGGATGCTGGGAATTGAACCCGGGTTGGTTGCATGCAAGGCAAATGCCTTATCTGCTGTACTATCGCTCCACTCCCTTACAAGGTTTTTTTTTTTTTTTTGATAAAACGATTTTTAAGAAAAGTCACTTCCCCCTGATTTTTCAGAATAGCCACAGTTGGCAGAGATGAGTAAAACTAGATTCTAGACCAGGGCCTCTTTTATTTTTTGCTTTTTGGGTCACATCTGGCGATGCACAGGGGGTTACTCCTGGTTCATGTACTCAGGAATTACTCCTGGTGGTGCTTGGGGGACCATATGGAATGCTAGGAATTGAACCCGGTCAGCCATATGCAAGGCAAACACCCTCTCCACTGTGCTATTGCTCCAGCCCCTAGACCAAGGCCTCTTAAACTTCCTTCACTTGCCATGAGTTTTCTCCAGGTACATGAACCAGGGCACACAAACCAAACATTTACTGATAATAAACCATATCTCTATTTAAAAAAGTCTTTGCAACACGCTCCTGGAGGGAGGGGTTTGACCCCCAGTTTGTCAGGGTCTAGGCCTCCTTATGTGAAAAGCAACTGACGTATACCAACCCAGGCCCGTGTCTCCCCTGCCACACATGGTAAAAATGATAAACTTCTCACTTTGAAAACATCTCTATACTTGATGGCAGAACTTCACTTTTATTTTATAGATGGCTTACCAATGGCGGATTCCTAGGGCACAGCACCACTGCTGTTTCCTTACTGGATATAATGTTTTTCATAATATGAAAGATTCTAAAGATTTCTGTTTCTACTCACTGCTGAATGTTTCCCTCTGCTCCAGTTACAAACTGTCAGTTAGCCAGCATGGGCGCCAAGAGGCCATGATTTGGATATACTTTTCGAATAATGCCCTCATCCTAAGGCTACATATTTTTATTTTTGTTTGGGGGCTGTCCTTGGCGCTGGGGCGACCCCTAGTGGTGCTCAGGGGGCTAGACCTTATGTGGTGCCCAGAACTTGAACCAGGATCAAGTGCCTTATTTCCCATATTGTCTCTTTAGTGCTAATATTTTATCTTTGAAAATTCAAGTACTGTCTGTCATGGAGGAAGGGGGAAGGTGGGAAAGGGGGGGTATACCAGGGAGATTGGTGGTGGGATGGGTGTTTGATCATTGTGTGATTGTAACCCAAACATGAAAGCTTGTAACTATCTCATGGCGAGTCAATAAAAAAGAAAAAAAAAAAAAAGAAAAAGAAAATTCAAGTATTAGAAAATGTGGTGTAAATGCAGCACTGTCTCAAGTTTGAGTATCTTATAAATGAATTTAAGGACAGAAAACTACCTAAGCTTAGCAACCACAGGTACTTTTTATTTTATTTCCTAAGGTCCCCAGAGCCCACCAAATCCTAGAGCCAGACCCAAACACTGCTGGGTGTGGCCCCCCAAAAAAAACGGGGGAAAAAAAAAGCAAATGAAAAACCATCCCAAAACTGTGTGTGTGGGGGGTGGGTAGGTGGCTGGCGGAACGAGGTCACACCTGGCTGTGCTCAGGGTTTACTCCTGGCTGTTTATTTCAGGGAACTATATGCAGTGCTATAAATCAAACTGGGGCCAGCCAAGTGCAAGGCAAGAATACTTCCCACTATACTCTCTTTCTCTCTAATCTCAGCTATTTCCCTAGGAACATGTCTATCAAGCTATATCTTGTGGTATATATATATATATACATACATATATATACATATATATATATACATACACATACACACACACACACATATATATATATATAATGTTTGTTCTGGGTCATAAGCGGGGGTGCTCAAGGCTTACTTCTTGCTGTGTGCTCAGGGATCACTCCTGGTGGGTTTGGGGGACCATACGGGGTGCCAGCGATCAAACCTGGGGTGGCTGCGTGAAAAACAAGCACCCTACCCACTATACTATTGTTCCAATCCCGAGCTTTCTCTAGTCAATTAGATTTAGCAAAGTGAAGATCGCAGAGTAACAGCCAACAACTGACTTCTGTAGATAAATGAATGTTACTCATTCAAATCTGAAAGTATAGAGTTAATTCTGGCACAATATCCAAAATAACATGGACAAAATTTATGTAAGATGTCACTATATAGAATGAACTAAGCACAGAAAGTTACTTTAACATGCTCTCCAGTTAAACAATGTCAAATATTAAAAATTATCTCATGGATATTCCATAAATTCAATTTCAGTGTAAATCAGGAGATAGAAAAATCAGATAAGTATTCATTTAAGTTCAAGTAACGTCACAGAGCTGGAGCAACAGTACAGCAGGTAGGCATTTGCCTTACATGCGGCTGACCTGGGTTTGATCCCAGGGATCCCATGTGGTCCCCCAAACACTGCAGGAGTAATTCTTGAGTGTAGAGACAGGAGTAACCCCTCGGCATCTTTGAGTATGACCTCCAAAAAAGAAACCAAAAACAAATAAAAAAAATTGTACAAGTAATATCACAGAACCCCACATTTGATGAAAAAGTAGAAGACACTTGGTACTGAAAGTAGACCAAGGACCATCATGATGGCCTCTCAGTATCTGTATTGCAAACCATAATGCCCCAAAGTAGAGAGAGTAAGAAGGAAGGTGCCTGCCACAGAGGAAGGGAGTGGGGTGGGGTGGAGGTGGTGGGGGGGATACTGGGGACACTGGTGGTGGAGAATGTGCCCTGGTGGAGGCATGGGTGTTTGATCATTGTATGACTGAAACTCGTGAAAGCTTTGTAACTGTATCTCATGGTGATTCAATAAAAAACATTTAAAAAAGAAAAAGAAAACGGAGACACTTGGTGCCATGCTTTTATTCGAACAAAAGGGAGCAAGTACACGGTACCAGGGAATAGCCCATGTGACAATAGGTTACAGCACAGCATTTAGAAAAAGCCTCTGAGCGCGCGCCAGGAAACACCCTACACTGCCCTGCCCGGCAGTGTCCGCCACCCACTGGAACAGCCAACAGAACCTCTCATAGTCATTTAAAAACAAAACCGGAAATCAAGAGGAAGTAAAAGCTTTCCAAAGGTATGTCAAACAGCAGAATTAGACAGGTCGCACCAGTTTACATAAGAAGTGTTTGGCAAATTTTATCGAATAATTACATTTTAACCCGGAAGCACCAAGGCGTTTCCATAAGGTTGGTGAAACTCTCCAGTCTTTATGAAAGAACATAATTTTCATTTGTGTAACTTTAAAAACGTAATTTAAAAAGCTGCACCATAATTTAAAAAAAAACTGCAGACTTACAGAGAAATATATCCATATTCCTTCTGCACTAATAAAGTAAAATATTATACTGAAAGCAATGAACATTTTGTGGCAATATTCACATTCTCCCTTCAGACATATGGACATTCATTCATTGCACATGAATTTAAGAGTGGTCTGGTTTAATTTTGATTCCCATTGTGTTACAACTAATTTTTTGGCAAATTTAATAGTTAAGTATTGTCACAAAGACCGCTTTGATAAGGGATAGTTAATTGTTATTTGTCGTATTCTGATTAGATTCATTTGCTACTTTTAAAAACTAGCTTAATCTAAGCATGTATGTGTTTGATAACCATTTCCTCCTGATAGTAACTGCTGTCTGAAGAATAAAATGTACAATTCCTCATTTCAATATTATATACACAATATGTATGCACTTAAAATAAGAGTTACATATCCTGGTCTTTTACATGCAAACAGCAGATCACAAATAGTTTTGAGCTACACATATATTTTGCACAGATATTGGAAAAAATCTGTAAAACATTTTTTTACAGTTTTAACAAATATACATAAATATAAGAACATAAATTACAGTAAAATATTGACAGCATTTGAGAAAATGTTGATAACCCAGATGCATTGATGCCTAAAGGCCTTATAATAATAGAAAAGTACAGTTCAGGGACATCTCATTCCTACTCTTTTTTAAAAAATGAGTAAATACATCATATGAGATACTAGCTATTTCTCCAAACAGCAGTTGGAGAAACGTGTTTATTTTAAATCTCTACTTCCCATGAAAAAAAAACAAACTATGCATCTCACCTATGATACAATACTGTCTTCCCCCCCTAAGCTTACACAGTTGTCACAACACTGAAACATAACAGGGTCACATAATCATTCAAGTCTTTTCCTGAGAATAAAGTTTTTCCCCAACTAACCCTCTGGCATATACTGTTAATGGAACAAATATCATGTAGAGGAGATCTGAGAGTGTACTTAATCTAAGCTGTTCCACTCAAATGGGATGAAAAAGAAAAACTCAAGAAGTAAAATAATGTGATGCTATTAAAAAAATTAAAATCAAAATGTAGCCCTTTGTACATGTTTATAAATTCTAGATATAATTCTTTTTTCAGTTATAAATATAACATAAAGACCTCTTCCATAGTGGCAGGAAGTCCTAAATTTTCAGACTGAAAGACTACTCTCAAAGTGTCTTTCACTCCTGCCAGCTTGTAAAGTGACTTGCTTTAAAAGGGATACTTTAAAAGGGATACTTGCTAAGACAACAATCTAAGTGGTTCCGAGTTGGTCAGAAGAGTAAAAAACAAAACTGATTTAATCAGCAACTTAAACATTTTCTTGGTTAAGCTCACGTGATTTAAAGCGAATCTACTAGCAGCTCTTTACAACACCTCCTCCTTTTATTTAATGAAGAAATGTTAATACTTGAGTGAACAATAAATACAGAACTGTAAATACTAAGTAGAATAATTCTTGCATATGTCCTAACACCATTATAACATAAGGGTTACTGGAAAACCAAACACTAGTGTTTCTCTGAGCATCATAAGAAAGGTGCAAGTTACCAATGAAGGCACAGTTCCTATTCTTATGATCTCCATGTGTAACAAAAGTCAAAGATATCTTAGAATAAATCCACCCCCTCCCCCGAGAGATAATTAGCAAAATAAACCATCTGAAGATGAGCAAATACATTAAAAATGTTTTTTAAAAAGCAACAAATGGAACACATAATTTGTGATCTAAGCCATATTTAAACTCTAAGTCCAACCAGCGTCCATGAGAATTCAGTGCTTCATTATATCCAATTGGTGAACCCAGTGAAACAAACCTCCATTTGTGAACCGATTCCTTCATCGCTTCAATTTGCCACCTAAGTGAGACTTCTCTACACTCCAAATACTGTGGGCCACATTCCAGTTGTTCCTGGCAACGGAGCTCAATGTCCAGTTTCAATGAGCAAAAGTCTTGTTGGCAATTAGAAACATTCTTAATAGGCAGGAAAGATGAAGTGCAAATTCACTACGAGAGTTCTCAACAAATATCTCCTGACTCCTATGCCTTAGTGGGCAAGAGTTTTTTTGGTGTCACAGGTCTCTTGGTTTGCCACAAATGGCTGTGGATGGTAATGGCATCAACACTGGCAGATAAGGTTTTTGCAGGTATGTGACTAAACTGTTTCCTGTCAGAATTATATTTGTAAAGTCCTTCAATCATTTTTTTAGTGATAGATTTTGGGCCTATGCCAGTCAATTTATTAATTTCTTCAGTTTCTGGGCAGTAAGTATATAAAGATCTGAACTGGCAGCCTGAATCCCGGAACAAGATTAGGAAGTTGTTGGCATCCGATTTCTCCATTTCCTTTAGAAGAAAATAACAACAAAGGATTAAAAAACCTTTATTCATCAAGTTGATACATAATTTCTTAAATGCATGTTCAAATTATATGAAATTAAAAATGTAAATTCTTTAACAGTAAAACATAAGATACACATTATAAAAGAAAATCATATCTTTTTTTTTTTTTTTTTGCTTTTTGGGTCACACCCGGCGATGCTCAGGGGTTAATCCTGGCTCATGCACTCAGGAACTGCTCCTGGCGGTGCTCAGGGGACCGACCATATGGGGTGCTGGGAATCAAACCTGTGTTGGCCATGTTGGCTGCATGCAAGGCAAACGCCCTACCCGCTGTGCTATCGCTCCAGCCCCAAATCATATCTTTTTTTTAAAAAAGGATTCCTATAAAACTTGAATGAGTGACTCTAAGAAAATAATTTATAATTTATATAATCTAAATCAATTGTAGTCTACAATAAGCATAGTCTTCCAGAACTGACCATGAACAACTAAATCTAATAATTAAAACATGGTCATAGATTTTTTATATATACCACTCAAATGTTAGGAGCCAACAGAGAGTATTTTTGTTTTGTTTGGTGCCATACTTGGTGATGTTCAGGGGTACTCCTGTGCTCTGTGCTCAGGAATCATTTCTGGTGGCCTTGGGGGAAAATATAGGGTGCTAGGGATTGAACCTGGGTTGGCTGCATACAAGGCAAATGCCCTCCACACTTTATTATCTTTGGTGCCCAGAGTCTTTCTTTGTGAATAAACAGAAGACTCCTTCAATTTGAGAATGTCCCCAGACTGAACTGTATGCAAACATGCTTACCTCCAGTATTTTTTTCTTCTGACCTTCATTTACTTTTCCAGCCAAACAGCAATGAGCTAAAGCATTTTGTATTATGTGCTTATTAGATTTTGCACTGGGTTCTTTGTAGAGCTTTGGTCCTAAGGTATGAATGGATTAAGATCCAAGTCAGAAACACTGTGCTTATATGATAATGCTTTTATGTTTTCATTACACTAAGAGAAAACTGAAGTCTGGTGCTGTAGACAGACCCTGGTGCTGTGCTCCCGTTAGCTGCTTTACCCACACAGGGTCTATCTTGAGGATATTTCCTAGGCTATCTGGGGTGCCTGGGAGAGCAGAGCTGGAAAGCAGGTGTTACCATCAGCATCAAATGCTCCCCCCCCCCCCCTTTTTGCCACACCCAGTGATGTTCAGGGGCTACTCCTGATTCTATACTCAGGGATCACTCCTGATGCTGGGGGATGACCTGGGATATCGGGGAAAGAACCTGGATCGGCCACATACAAGGCAAATTGCCCTCCTGGCTGTACCATCACTTGGGTTCCTGCTTCCCCGCCCCCCCTCCCCCGCCCCCCTCTTTCTTTCTCGAGTCTGGTAGGGTTGCTGGAAAGTGACCCTGTAGTATAGAATGAATCCTATATTACAGGGACATGAGTTAATGAAGGTTTGTAGGAAAAAAACTATTTCCCTCCTTGGGAGAGAAGTTCTAGGAAGGCCATGAGGCACCTGTCTGGGATGAACCCAGAGCCTGTGCACGTCTGACATGTTCTCTGGCCCTCTGAGCCATCGACCTGGCCCCCACACCCAGCGATGCTCAGGGTTTACTCCTTGCTCTGCACTCAGGAATCACTCCTGGTGAGCTCAGGGAAAACATGGGACGCTGGGGATTGAACTCTGGTCAGCCACCATGCAAAGCAAATTTGTGCTCTACTCTCTGTATTATTACTCCAGCCCCCGTAATTTTTATTTTTAAAAAATAAGAAATAACTTCATCTTTTTCCTTCTTCTATACCTCCAGTGAATTTCTGTCAATAAAACACAAGCAGGGGCCGGAGTGATAGTATAACGGGTAGGTCATCTGCCTTGCATGCAGCCGACTTGGGTTCAATCCCTGGTGTCCCGTATGGTCCCCGAAGCATTGCCAGGTGTGACCCAAAAAGAAAAACAAACAAACAAACACACACAAAAACCCACAAGCAGTGTTTGCCATTTGCTCTGAAACACTGCAACCCATGAAGGGTGGCTTACAGTATAATCTGCCTCTTCTTCCCATGTGCTCAATTCTGTCTTGGAAGGTAAGAACTGTGCCTTACTCTGAGTAATGCACTAAAAAATCACTTTCTGTTTTAGTTTTTGGTCACACCTGTCCAGGCTCAGGACCTACTCCTGTCCTGGAGGTCAGGAATCACTTCCGGCAGGACTTCGGGGGCCATATGGGATGTCAGGGCTTGGATACGGATCAGTCGGGTGTAAGGTAAACACCCTACCCTACCCACTGTACTATTATTCCAGCCCCTGGTTTTATGTTTGCTTCTGGGCCACACTCAGTTGTGCTCAGGACTTACTCCTGGCTCAATGCTCAGGGGTCACTCCTGGTGGTACCAGGGGACAATACAGGAAGCCAGGTATTGCGCCTGGATCAGTCATGTGCATGGCAAGCATCTTACTCGATGTATCTCTGACCCCTGAAAAACCACTCTGGGGGCAAGAAACAGAAAAAAACAGCCCTGGTTTGCACTTATTTCTGTGATAACAATTCTTACCACAGCTGATTTCAAGCTACCAAAGTCTCTGTAGCTTCTATAATTCCTGAAAATCTAATCACCAGCTCGAGTCAGCAGGAAGTGGCCCAGCAGAGCAGTGAGAAGGGTGGTCTAGGACAGTGAGCAGCTGGCCCACGAAATGCCAGACTAATGAACACAGAGAAGCATAGTCGGAAAGAAGCAAATATAGTTCACTTCCAGGCCTTAAGTCTGTTTGGTGGCTTGAGGACACTGTACTAAGAGCCACAACAAGAAGCCAGGGTGGAAAGGAGTTAAGTGTTAATCCCCTTTGGGCCTTCACGGGGCAGCTGCCACTACTCACTGCAGATGCAGCAACCGCCAGAGCTCTTGTTCTCCTGAACCACATGCTCAGAGCTCTCATCTCCTCTTCTGCAGGGGGTTGGATGGGGAGGTGGGGGCCCAACTGGTGGTGCTCAGCTGGTGCTAGGGACCGAAGTTGGGGCTCTTCATGCCAGTCCTGTAACTCAAGTCCTCTGGGCTACCTCACTGGCCTCCTTCACGTCTCTGAAATGTTCTACTGACTTTCTGACTTTCAATTTGCTTTAATCTCACCAATGCCTACCCAAAGACCAGAAGAGAAACTGATAGTGATATCTGAGGCTGGATCCCCTTCGATCCAGTGCATTAATTCTCCTCACCTTTCAGAGTCTTTCACTATTTTAAAAGATGTACACAAATCCCAATAAGAGAGACTTTGCCTATGAAGGGCATTTGTCCATGGACACAGGTATTACTGGAAGCACTTTTCTAAACCTTCAGACTCAAATTGGAATGCAGAAAGGGCTAGTACTTTGAAGAAAGAAGTCAAGGAATGAGAATACTGCTAATTTCAGTTCATCTAAGAAAAGTCATGCCCTACGTAGGTGGGAATGTACCCCTGCAACTGACCCTCCTGTCTGCATTCTGGCTAGCTCCATGTTTAGATCAAGAGGTTTGCCAGTGAAAATGCCGCTAGCTCAGCTTGTATCTGTCCTAATCAGTGTGTTAGACTGAGATGCAAAGACACTAACCCGTATATTCTGTCCCAGAAGCCACTGAAGAGGTTGTTGATGCATTCTCCCAGTCTTTCTCTCCATTTCTACTGCCACAGCGACTTGGAGATAAGAAGCCTTCTACAGACTCTGATCTAAGAAACAAATAGAATATTGTTATCTCCAATAGAGTAAGAACATTTGAAGATCGGAAGGGTAGGTATGTGAGAGCACTAACGTATATCAACCAAGAAACTTGAAAATGAAAGGATAGGGCTGGAGTGATAGTACAGTGGCAGGGTGCTTGCCTTGCACATGGGCTGATAAATAAAAGGATAGTAAACTTCTGTCTTAATCATTTTTACTAAAGTACTGGGATTTACAATACTGTTAATTATGCTTTTCACGCATACATCATCCCAATGTGAACTTTTGTCTTAATTATATTTATCTAAGTGCCTCGTGTGTAGAAGGAATTCTTTTTTTTTTTTTTCGCTTTTTGGGTCACACCCGGCGATGCTCAGGGGTTACTCCTGGCTCATGCACTCAGGAATTGCTCCTGGCGGTGCTCAGGGGACCATATGGGGTGCTGGGAATCAAACCTGTGTCAGTCATGTTGGCTGCATGCAAGGCAAACACCCTACCCGCTGTGCTATCACTTCAGCCCCAGGAATTCTTAAATATTTGAATGAAAGACCGGTTTTCCAGTAAAAACTGGCATATAACACAGTAGAATGGTAAAGAACAACTATCAGAGCTGATAACTATCACTAGAAATATTTTTTTTGGCGGGGGGCAGGTTGGGCCACACCCAGTCCCAGTGATGCTCAGGGCTTACTCCTGGCTCTGCACTCAGCAATTACTCCTGGTTGGGGGACTCTAAGGGGTGCTGGAGGTCAAACCCAGGATGGCTGTGCCCCCTGTCCACTGTAACTATTGCTCTGGTCCCTAGAATATTTTTAATTTTTTTAAGCCAGGGGTATTAAAGAAGTTTAAGGTAATAAAATACTGATTTTCAGTCCTTGAGATGTATTCTAGAGATAAAGAGAGGATACAAAGAGATCTTTCTGGGCTAGGAAGATAGCTCAAAGGGCTGGAGGGCATGCTTTGTGATCCTTGGCACTACCTGGTACCCTGAGCTTTACTGGATGCAACCCTAAGCAATGTGCCAAGAGCAGCCTCAGAGGACACTTGGTATGGCCCCAAAACAAAAACAATCTTTTGTAAGTAATAAGCAAACACTATAATTATTCTAAGGGAGGAAACTCTACTTGGTGGGAAATAAGCTAGAAAAGCTGATACATTTCCTGAGTCAGAAAGAGAGGGACAGACATAGAAGGACTGCACTCATTTGTGGAGTATAAAACAACATAACATGAGGCTGACGCCTAAGGACAGTAGATACACGGGACAGGTAGACTGCTTCATAGCTGAAGCCTGCCTCATGAGCAAAGGGGAGAAGGCAGCTGGAATAGAGAAGGGATCACTAAGAAAAACATGGCTGGAGAAATCGGTCGGGATGGGAGATGTGTGCAGAAAGTAGATAAAGGAGCAAACATGATAACTTCTCAGGGTCTGTATTGCAAACCATAATGCCCAAAAGCAGAGAGAGATTATGGAGAATCATATCTGCCATGGAGGCAGAGGGAGGGTGGGAAAGGGGGATATACTGGGGAGATTGGTGGTGGGGAATGTGCACTGGTGGGGGGATGGGTGTTTGATTGTAACCGAAACATGAAAGCTTATAACTATCTCATGTGATTCAATAAAATTCAATAAAATTCAAAAAAAAAGCTGATACATTTCTTATTTCTATAAGCCTGATTTTATCACATCATTTTAGCAACTGACGTATAGTTACCGCTACTGTATTTATAAGAAGTATTTTATCAATGTCAGTAAATCAAAAATTAGCATTTTAAAGTGAACAGACTTCTTTGTATTTCAATTTCACTTAAGAGATACCCAAACCAAGTCAGCAAAACATGCCAAACATGCATGGTTATGATTCATTCTTTATAAAAATATTTGCAGGGAATGTATTTTCTATGAAAGATATTCCTAGCATGGAATTACCTTGGTGTTCTCTTGCCTGAATGCACACTCTCGTTGTCGCCTGTGTTCAGGGATGCCAAGGAAAGGCTAGAGACTGAAAAAACACGATAAATTCGTGATCCTGAAGAAAAACAAAATTACAAATTGAAAAGGAACAACTAGAAGAGAGTCTGTTCATTAGGTAACACCAGCACATGAAAATAAAATTTCTGTTGTTGTTTCGTTATTATTAACCTAAACAGAATATGTTTGCATGCATATATGCACAATTTGTTTAAAATTAGTAAGAAATAATAAAATCTATTGTTGTTAGGATTTATTCCACAAGGAAAGTGGCAATACCAGATGTATTGGTCACTTAAGAAAACTAAAAATATTGACAAAAAATTTAAATTAAAAAATAAAAAGAATGAAGAATATTTATGATATCTGATTTCTAAATGGAAAATTATTTATCTTGAGCCAATATATATTAATTTCAATGTCCAGAAGATGAAGTTCTTTTCAGGAAGTAAATGTCATTTTTCTTCAATTTTAAGAAAATAGAAGTTCTCTGGAATTCCATGATTTTTGCTGGTCTTCATTTTGAGCCATACCCAATAATGCTCAGGGATTATTCCTGGCTCTGTGCTCAGGGAACTATATGGGGTGCTGGGAACTGAACCTGGGTTGGCGCAAGCAAGATGAGCGCCCTACCCACGGTACTATCACTCCAGCCCATTGACATTTAGTTTTAATGAAAGATGGAATTCTTGCACACAGTATTTGTCTGTTAAACTTACAAGTTTAGAAATGGTAGGCAATAATTCAGGAGTTATTGTGAAGCCACAGTTCCTTTACAGATTAGTATTTAAAGTGGTTTTATTTTGGCATTCATATTTATGCTACTGAATATATGCATGCACATATTTAACTTGCTCATTTTGGTTCTCCAAATAAGGAGCATGCACAGTCCTAAATGATGTATCCAATTCAGCATACCAAAATACAATCAAGTTAGTACAACAAACTAGGCGGCTGGTGTTTATGAACAGACTCTTTGTAAGAAGTTGTGTTACCTGGAGGACCTTTAATAGGTGTTTTGGGGGATTCAATATGATCTCTGTGAATAGATTTGGGGCGCTGTTTCTTGGGCTTTGCTATTTGCGGGCGGGGTTTAATTACGGTATCCATGTCTTCCATTAGTTTTAGTTGTTTGCGCCTCATATACTCTTGCCTAATAAATTCTCTGCGTGCTCTCTCATCTTCTTTCTTCTGACGTTCTTCCTCAGTTTTACGCCTAAGAAACCAAATGTTAAATTTCTTTTTTTTTTAAACTTTTATTAGTGAAACACCATGAGGTACAGTTGTAGACTTACAAATTTTTGTGCTTGGGTTTCAGTTATACAATGATCGAGTACCCATGCCTCCACCAGTGCCCATTTCCCACCAACACGGATCCCAGTAGCCCTCCTCCCCCCATCACCTCCCCACCCCGCCTTTGTGGCAGGGCATTTCCTTTTGCTCTCTCTCTCCTTTTGGGTGCTGTGGTTTGCAAAAGAGGCACTGAGTGGCAATCATGTTCAGTCTATAGTCTACTTTCAGCATGCATCTCCCATCCTGGGAGGATCCTCCCAACACCCTTTACTTGGTGCTCCCTTCTCTATCTATGCTGCCCTTTCCCTTAGCATGTATGGCTGGCCTCCAAGCCATGGAGTGAACCTCCTGGTACTTATCTTGGCTATTCTTGGGTGTTAGTCTCCTATTTTGTTACTTTATATATTTCCCAGATGAATGCAATCTTTCTTTGTCTGTCTCTCTCTTCCTGACTCATTTCACTTAGCATGATACTTTCCATGTAGTATCACTTGTATGTAAATTTCATGACTTCATCTTTTCTAACACTGCATAGTACTCCATTGTGTAGATGTACCAAAGTTTCTTTAACAAGTCATCTGTTCTCCAAATGTTAAATTTCTTATTCTGCATTCCAAAAAAAACAGACATTGGAGAGTATATATATATATATATATATATATTTTTTGCTTTTTGGGTCACACCCAGCGATGCACAGGGGTTATTCCAGGCTCTGCACTAGGAATTACTCCTGACAGTGCTCAGGGGACCATATGGAATGCTGGGAATCGAACCCGGGTCGGTTGCAAGGCAAACCCCTACCCGTTGTGCTCTCTCTCCAGCCCCTTGGAGAGTATAACTGATGCGACTTAGAATCACTGTCTTTCAGCACTTTATGTGGTCCACCTTAAATAAGATCATGTAAGTCAATAATACACAGACACATATCAATTATAAGATACATGTGCGTGTGTGCAAATATTCAAGAAATTATGTTTTTGTAGTGTCAGGAAGCAAGTCCAGGACTCAGACATGCAAGGCAAATGTTCTACACTGACCCACATTCCTGGCTCTCAGTGAACTCGAACTACTCTCACTGAGAAATGACATACAATTTCCTTTACCTTGTCTCTTCTTTCTTATGTTCCATTTCTGCTTCCAGCTGCTGTTTCCGAAGCTGAGTCTCTTTTTCCCTTCTTAATCGTTTCTCCAGCAAAGCAGCCCGTTTCATTGCCATATCATTTTCTGCCTTTTGGTCATCCTAAGAATGAATTTCATTGGAAAAGATGAGTATTCTGGGTGCCATTTTCTCAGCTTGTGTGGCTCTACTTAGTGCTTATTCTTACAACTGAAAATCTGATCTGTTCACTTTAACTCCAGCATTTGCAAGCACATTACAGAAATTAGGAAGCGAAGAGATGCCTAAAATGGCAACTGTTCTTATGACCCTCACGTTATAAATACTCATATAAAAACCAAAACCAAAGGCACAGTCCATGGGTCCGAGGGTTGGAGGTGGAAGGGTCAGGAAGGGCAGGAGCAGGCCTACCCTACTGTCAGAAGGTAAGGTCCCCAGGTTGATTTGGGTCTGGGGACAGGAACTGCATTAGTTTCCTCAGGAAGTGAGGGGCCCTTGAATGCCAAAAAACAATCTTGAGGTCTGGCCAAAGGAGTGGGGTCCATCCCAGGCTAAGGAGATGCTTGTGGCAGATGTGGCGGTGGCCTGGGAGCCTTGGCCTCAAATGGAACCAAGGCATAGTGATTTAGTGGAGTCATTGGAGGCCACTGAGCAACTGCAGATGTATCCACATGGAAAATGGCAATAGTTCGATGATTAACACATCGCGGCATTTACCTTACTCAGATTTTCAAAACTTAGGAAGAATTAGTTAAGAACTATCATAGAAAGGGCAAAAAAAAACATCAAGGTTGGGGGAGCCCTAAAATTTGAGTCCCTCCATTTAAAAAACTGCATGTGAATTGTATTTCTACACAATGTAAACACATATAAAATTACCCTCATACCTGCAACCCCTGGTTACCTCACAAATGAAACTACTGTTATATGGTTCTTTTGTGGGTGGGAAGGGGAGTGTTGGAGCTCAAACCCAAGGCCTCACTGAGATGTGCAAGGCAAATGCTTTACCTCTGAGCTACCCTGGACAGTTTTTAAGTTGAGGCTCTGGCAGTTGCTTGATGGGTTCAGAATTGTCCTAAAAGTTTTCCTTTGAAGTGAAAATAGGCACATTGTACATATCTCTTCTAAAAGGCATTAACCCCTGGCTATCTCCCCAGGTCAAATCTGAAGTATTTTCATAGAGAACAACTTCACTGAAGCTAAGCTCTAACAACAATGATCTCAATCAGCAGAACGAAGACCAGAAGGACATTATTAGAATAGGCAGAAAGCCAGCTAAGAAGCTGTGACTTCAGGGCTGGGGTTATGAAACAGGGGGTAATGAACTTGCCCTGCAAATGGCTAATCCCGGTTAAATCTGTTTTCCTTTCCTTTTTTGTTTTCCTTTCTTTGTCAGGAATAGAGAGGTAGTAAGGAACTTGAATATTAAGACAGTGACCACTGAGCACCACCAAGTGTGGCCTTTGTGATCCCTGGCACCACTGGTCTAATTGGTTGTGTCACTAGAGCGACGCCCACCCCACGCCGCCCCCACCTCCCAATTAAATAGTGATCTGTATCTTTGATTCAAAAAATGCTACCATGGTTAAGACAGAACATGCCACACAAATTTTTATGTTACAAAGGGCCTTAGAGCAATCACTCTGGGCCCTGAGCACCACCAGGAACAAGCCATGGGCACCTCTGGCTGTGTCGCCTTCCCCATGCCCCCTCTCCCAAAAAAGGACAAAACGACCATATAAAAGAAGATGTTCACAACTCAAAATATGTAAGTTGTGAACATCTTAGATGTTCAGATGCTAAAATATACTTATGTGCAATGCCAAAGTCAAGTTGTAAACTCTTTACAAATTAGCAACTGAGTATAAATTTTGAATAATCTTTTTTGGGCGGAGGAATCGAACTCGGGTTGGCCATGTTGGCTGCATGCAAGGAAAACGCCCTACCGCTGTGCTATCGCTCCAGCTATTCCTCCGCCCCTCCGGAAAGTATCTCGCCCGCACGGCAGAGCCTGGCAAGCTCCCCGTGACGTATTCGATATGCCAGGCACAGTAACAACAAAGTCTCCAATGGAGACGTTACTGGGCCCGCTCGAGCAAATTGACGAACAACGGGAGGGCCTTTACCTTAATCTTTTCTGGGGGGTGATGGGGTTCAAGTCTTACATACATGAGCTACATGATATCCCCAACCCCACAGGGTAGGCTTCATTTTCCTTCATAAAAGTGAGAGAGGTAAAGTAGCGTGAACAGCATTTCTGAACGTGCACTATGACTTGATGAAGAGATGACTGTGATGAAGAGATGGCTGATCTAGAAATCAGTGTGTTTGAATGTGACTCTCGAGGCAAATACCAAAAACATCTAGTTTAAGATTTACAGCTGACCAGACTTTTGATGAAAGGAACTGTTAATAATAATTTAAAAAGCTGTCAAGCTACTAAAAACCCAAACCCATATAAGATGCTTAAAACCAAGTAGACAGTTACCTTAAAAAAGAATCCACAGCAGACTTTCTGCTCTTCATCACACTGTTCTTTATCACTTTCGCCATCGTACTTTTCAACAGCCACATCAGCCTTCTCTGGGGGTTTCAAATCAGAGAGGGAAACTTCTATTAGATTAACATTCTTAGGAGCAGTAGGTGGGAAAATAGGTTTTGGAGGTTCTGTGGGTTGATTCAACTGGTCCTCATTCGGTGTCAGGCAGACAGTCTCTGTAACAGGCTGTGACAGGACTTCTGAAACTGTTGACTCCAGAGGTTTGGGTTCCGTCTCCTCTGGGTTTTGTAGGTGCTGTTCCTCAGTCTCTTTGGAGTCCAGCTCCTCTTTTTTCACTTCCTCCTTTGGTTTGGATTCCTTTAGCTGAGGTTCTCCATCATCCCCAAAACACACAAAGGACCTCGTCTGAATAGGAACCTGGCTTGGCGAAAACCTCCTTAACCGAGGAAGACTATCCACAGACCGAGGGGGGGTCAACGTTCGATTCAAAGGTGTGATTTTTAACTCATTTGGCCTTGGAGTCCTTTGATTTTTCACAGAAAAAGATCCGCTTTTCCTGTGAGAAGACTGTGGCGATGGGTGAGTGGGCCGAGGGGAGTCTGAGGAGAAGGAAGCAATGGTTGAGGACGCTCCTGCCTGCCGGGGTGGCTTCGATTCCCGGCTCTGTTTCTGCGGAGAGGGCTGGGGAGGTGAAATCACCCACGACTGTTGCTCTCGCTCTCTCATCTGCATTAACATCTCCTGCTGAAGTGACAAGCGCTGCATTTCTTGCTGCAGAAAATGCAGTGATGAATTTAACTTCTCAATGGACTTGGTATATTCTAAGATCTCTCCTTCATTTAAGGTTTCTTCTGTGGGACTTGCCAAGTTCCACTGCTTCTCAGGATCAACAGGTGTTGTTGGAGACTTGAGCCACTTGGCTTGAGGTACTTCCATGCTTTCCTTTATGTCGGCCAGAGACTTGCTCCTCTGTCCATTCCCTTTCTGTGGTTCCTTTTCTTTTGCCGGATCAGTATACACCTTCTCATCTTCTGCACCAGCTGCTTCCTCTCGAAGAGGGGAAATTCCATCTCCTTTCTTTTTCACCACAGTCAGAAATGCTGTCCTTCCCATTTTCTGCCTCTGTTTGGTAAAAGCAGCTTCCATCTTCTTTTTCTGGGCTTCTATAGCACGCCTCTTTTCTTCGAGTTTCATCCTAAGATGTACCATTTCAGATGCCAACAGCTGGGTAGTGTCGCGTCCTTGAGGAAGACCCGTTTCTTCTGGAATTTGTGCCCAAGCCACCACGTGAGGAATATTAAGTTCAGAGCCCTCTGGTGTTGTTTTTTGAGAACTGCTCCCACTACTTTTCCCATCAGTGTGATTCAGTTTCCGGAATTTCTGTTCAGCAAAGCTGGTCATTTTAACTCCAGAACTAGAGGAAGCACTGCTGCCTGGTTGTGACTTGGTACTAACAGTGCTTGGACAAGGACTCAGTGATCCCCTCGGGTTGCTGGTGCGCATGTCATAATCCTGAAGAAATTTCGATGCATCATCCATGTCCGAATCTAAACTTACAGTATAATCTCTCAAAGAAGAATCTTCATCCATGGTTTCGGGGATATCTTCTGAAGGAACATGGATTCCAGTGTCTACCTCAGTGTTGTCAGTGACGGGACTCAAGGCACCTTTTGTTTCAGTGATGTTATCAAGAGTAGACTGATTTAGCTTGATATTGGAATTTAGGATACTCATTTCCTGACTATGAAGAAAGAAGCCATTAGCAATTTGATCTGGCTGAGGTGTATGAGGAGATTTATCAGTATCATGAATTATCTGTAATGCCTCTTCAATGCTTGGTGTTTCAACCTGATTGCCAAACTCATCGAGAAGTACTCTGTTTTGTAAAGCTCCATTTGGAACCTTGTAACGAATATTCTCATTAGAATTTAGATTATTTCTATTATGGGGCACATAAGACTTGAGGTCACTGTGACAGTCTATATTAAGTTCTTCTTGAATACTTTCTGCTTCCTCTTCTCCATTTACTGGCTTGAAGGACAGATTTTTCCTAATGTGTTTAGATACACGATTATTGTTCACAGTAATTCCTTCATTACTAATAGAACGAGTGATTCCCCGGTTTGGAATGGATCTCTGCACACTACTTTCCTTGTCAAAAGAAATATCAAATGAAACTCCATGCACTGATGACCTAAAAAAAAAAAAATTCTTAAATAACCTCAGAAAGAAAATTATTTTTAATCACTGATAATTAATAATTAGTTGAGAAACCAGAGAGATAGCACAGGGGTCAAGACACTTTGCTTTGCATGTGGCTGATTCCAGTTGTCTCTAGCAATGCACAGTACTCCTGAACGTGCCAAGCACTGCTGGGAGCAACTCTGAGCACTGCCAGCTGTAACTCAAAACTAGATTTCCACCCCCGGATTATCTGAAATTATACATCAATCAAGCTTCAAGTTCGTTTTAAATTTAGCCCCTTTGATCTTTATTGTTTGCCTATGCGCCACCCTTTTATTTATTTATTTTTTCTTTTTGGGTCACACCCGGGGATGCACAGGGGTTACTCCTGGTGGCGCTCAGGAGACCATATGGGATGCTGGGAATTGAACCCAAGTCGGCTGTGTGCAATGCAAACGCCCTACCTGCTCTACTAACACTCCAGCCCCTATGAACAACCCTTTTAAAACTTAAGTACTAATCAACAATCTATTGCAATTTGGCTAACCACAACAACAAAAGAGTAAAAAAGAATATTTCAGTAAATATACTGAAAATAATTTTACTGTTTACCTTTTCTCTTTGGGCCAGGTCCCTATGAAGCCATCAACATATGACATAGATGATGACCTTCTAATTCCTCCTTCAAATAAAAAAAAAAGTCATTGAAATCACATAAATTTTAATTTATAGAATTAAAAAATATATTTGTGGGTTCATTAATGACACTAAAAAAGCATGGAGAATTAGAAATCAATGAAGAAAAACAAGCATAAAGAAATAAGATTAAACTTTTAATATACACATAATACTTTCCAGAAAAAAACACTTGATACCTCTGTTTATTTATATTTATTCTCAACTATTTCCCAGTTCACCTGATAGATGAAATTTCTTTAAAGATATTTTCAAGGGGGGGGAGGGATATTATCCTGGTGGTGGAAAATGGGCACTGGTGGAGGGATGGGTATTTGATCGTGGTATGACCGAGATCCAAGCACAAAAATTTGTAAATCTACAACTGTACCTCATGGTGTTTCACTAATAAAAAAAAAAAAAAACCTATTGACAGGAGATTCACAAATGAATCTCGGAACAAGAGCAGCTCACGGCAGAGATGGCTCCGGACCCCATTTATTTAAAATATCATAATTCCAGGAGTGTGCAGCCACTTTTGTGGCTGTGGAACATCACATACTATATATTTGTTTTGTTTTGTTTTGTTGTCGAATCACTGTGAAAAAGACCCTTACAGACATCTCATACTATTCATAACAATACAAAATAATAATGGTGATGGAAAGGTGTAATGGTGGTTGAGATTGGTGCTGAAATATTGAAGGTAATCAATTACTGTGAAAAACTTTATGAAAATAAAATTTAAATTAAAAAAGTCAACTGACAAATAATCATACTTAAATTTTCAACAATAAAATAATCAATACTTTCCTGAATCTATCTTTTATTCTTCAGAAGAAATTCCGAAAAGCCTTCTTTCTGATTTTAAAATATTATCACGGTGTTGTAGGAAAACTAATGTGTGTTAACTGCATTCTACACTAAGTTGACATGAACTTCTTTCATGATGTTCTCCCTGACCCGTGCATGAATCTTGCTAAATAGTATTTTTAAAGATCTAAAAATGACCATCTCTAACATATAATTAAATGATTTAAAATTGTTTGGTATTGGGAGGATCCTCCCAGGATGGGAGAAGCATGCTGAAAGTAGACTATAGACCAAACATGATTGCCACTCAATGCCTCTCTTGCAAACCACAACACCCAAAAGGAGAGAATAAAAGGGAATGCCCTGCCACAGAGGCAGGGTGGGATGGGGGGGATGAGGGGTGGGAGGGATACTGGGATCCGTGGTGGTGGGAAATGGGCACTGGTGGAGGGATGGGTATTTGATCATTATATAATTGAAACCCAAGCACAAAATTTGTAAGTCTACAACTGTACCTCATGGTGTCTCACTAATAAAAATTAAAAAAAAAAAAAAAGATATTTTCAAATTTATTACCTGAGGCTGAAGAATGTGGTTGGGCACGTGAATGTCGAGAATACAAATGGTGATGAGAGGGCGCATATGTAGCTCCTTCCACACTGAAATGTAAAATATATTTAAAATGTTATATTACAGTTTAGTTCATTATGTAATAATAATAAAAATCCTCTTCCCCCAATAATAATAACAATAATTTTAGGGACCATATCTGGCATTGTTCAGGGCTTATTCCTGGTTCTGTGCTCAGAGGGATCATATGGGGTGTTGGGGATAGAATCTAGGTCGCTGCATGCAAGGCAAGCATCCTATCAGTTGTGGTATCTCTCCAGCCCTCTAGAAGATTCTTAACTCCAGCCCCCTAAAGAACATTTTTATTTTTATTTTTTTTTTTAAAGAACACTTTTAAAATGAACTAATAATATCTATCTCATAGATGGTCAGGAGCCAGAATCATCCTTATATTAAATGGTAGGAATGTTTTTACTTTGCTTTTGATTCAGTTCTTGATATTAACAAGTTAAGTGGGGGTGCTGGAGAGAGTTCAGTAGGTAAGGTATTTGCTTTGCATGCAGCCAACCCGACTTTGATCCCAAACATCCCATTTGGTCCCTCACGTTTCCACTATGAGTGATCCTTGAGCCTAGCGCCAGGTGTAAGCCCTGAGAATCCCTGAATGTGGCCTAAAAACAGATCAGTAACTCAAGTGGGGCTGTGGGCTAGAGAGGTAGAGAGGGCTTTGGAGCTTTCCTTGCATGGTTTGATTCTGGCACTGCATGGTCCCCAGCAAGTACCACCACGAGTGACTCCTAGTACAGAGGTGGGGGCAGCCCAAAAATCAGCAAGAAAAACCTAGAGCACTAGAATTAAAGCACTAGAAGAAAATTCAATATGAAGATAAATATTGCTGTGATCTCTCAACAGAAGTCATCAAACAAAGCAGTAGGGAAATTCCCTCACAGATGACAAGATCTGGTCTGTACAGCAGGGAAATAGTTCAAAATTGCTGAACACATGCTCTGCAAGGCTCCTGAGCATAACCAAGTGTGGCTCCAAACCCCCCCCCCCAAAAAAAATCTGGACCAAGGAAATGAAACAAAGGGCCTTGGCATGCAGAGCCCCATTCCCAGCACCAAATGTCTCCCAGCACCATTCCTGCTTAAAAACTTTTTAAAGTTGTAAAAATTAAAGGCACACAACTAAATTTCATTTTGATTCTATTAGTAAGTAGAATGGAAATAGTCATTCTGGAATCAACCTTGGAGAGAAGTCAGAGCTACATGAACTATCCAACACACTTCTTTGGGCAGCATTCAAGACAGGAAGCGAAGGCGTAATATCTTTCACAGGTTCAGCTATAATGAAAGAGAAAAACCTTAAATTATATGTTTACTATCATATATTTTTGCTTCTTTATAAACAGTTGATAAAGTCAATCAATTAAAGAGACAGAATTTCTCTGGTCAATAATTAGAACTGGTAGAGCTTACTAATGGTTTCATTTACCTTTTTATAAACTCTAGAGGAAGAGTCAATTTACTTTTAACCTTTGACCTAATGTAATCTAACAGATGTTGGAAAGTTTCAGATGCAATCACAGAACACTTTCTGTTCACTGTAAAAAGTTGAATACTGATTATGATGATTACTAATTAAGTCTAAATTTGCTCAATGGTCTTAGAGAAAGATCTCAGCTTCTTTATAGGTATTCCTTATTACATAATGGCACCATATTCAGAATCTACTTTTAACAGCTTGGAGACAAAATGAGACTATTTTCATTTTTTGCATACACTGCGGATGTTAGCTTGAGATGCAATCACCATTCTACTCACTAAAGTGAATTTCCCTCCCCCCCCAACCAATTACATATAATTTCCTTCTTCAGGTTTGCTAATTCTTTCATTTTTAGGGAAATATAATGGTAATAATGGAGAGAAATAAGGGTAGTAATCTTAGAAGTAACAAACTTTGGAGCCACAATGACAGGAAAACGGTGTTGGTGTTTGCCTTGCAATGTGACTGATATGGGTTTGGTTCCTGGCACCCCACATGACCCGAACCTAGGTGGGAATGATCTCTGATACTGGTATGATGGGGCTAAGATTAGGGAAAACTGTACACATAAACATTATTCATGGCTGATTGTGAAGTTGAGTGCTATGAATAACTATGAATAAATTATAGTAGCACTGTCCTCCCATTGAGTGCTATGAATAACTATGAATAAATTATAGGAGCACTGTAGCACTGTCCTCCCGTTGTTAACCAAGTTGCTAGAGTGGGCACCAGTAACGTCTCCATTATAGTACCTCAATAAAAAAATTAAAAAAAAAAAAAAGGTACCAAACTTTGAGTGAAGAAAAGTAGCTAAGAGGTTGGGGTGTGCAGTGGACCATGTTTGGCATCAGGGCAGGACAGCTATGGTCAGCAGAAAAAACTGGTTTCACATGTAATGCTGAAAGGAAACTTCTTTAGATTGAACTTAAATATTTAGGTTTATTTTTTACATATAGAAATAAATGCCTGGTTTTATCACGGAAATCAATGGATCACTGTTTTAGAGATAATGCTGTTCTTAATTTTTAGGATTTTAATAGTAATCCCTACATTTATTGGTTTTATTTGTTTTCAGGCTACACTCAGTGATGCTCAGCGGTTATTCCTGGCTCTGCACTCAAGGGATCATATGGGATGTTGGGGATTGAACCCAGGTAGACTACATGCAAGGCAAGCACCCTGTCTACTATACTACTGTTTCAGCCTACTTTCATTCTTATGTGCAAGTAATAATAAAATTTTTTAAAAAATCTACCAGGTTTACACATACACATCCCTATAATTTTGGGGAGGGAATGGGGGCTGGGACCACACCTGGTAGTATTGCTCGGGGCCTACTCCCAGCTCTGTGCTACACTGCTCCCAGTGGTGCTCTGTGGAGCATGTTGTACCAGTGGTCAAATCAGGGCTGGTCACACACAAGGTAAGTACCTTAACCTTGTGAGTGTCTCTCTGTCCTGACACCCCATAGTTTAGTGTAGCATTGTAGCACTGCACTGTCCTGTTGTTCATCGATTTGCTCAAGTGGGCCCAATAATGTCTCCATTGTGAGACTTTGTTTTTACTGTGTTTGGCATATTGAATACATCACTGGTAGCTTGCCAGGCTTTGCCGAGCGGGCGAGAGACTCTCGGTAGCTTGCCAGGTTCTCCGAGAGGGGCAGAGGAATCGAACTCGGGTCGGCTGGGTGGCAGCATGCAAGGCAAACACCCTACTGCTGTGCTATTGCTCCAGCCCCAATAGTTTAGTGACAAAAAAATTACATGAGGGTTAAAAAAAAAAAAAGGCCAAGACAAAGTGGGCAAAAATTAAAGCTATAAGTTTCATAATAGAAAGCTTGAAATCAGAACCATTTTCTGCATTTACTTTTTCTTTCCCATATCACTTCTCTCAAAAAATTTTGTGAGAAGTGATATGGGAAAATACTCAGAATTTATCAAGGTTAACTGCTAAAACAAGATGTTAGTAGGAAACGTTCTCATTGTGTCTGTTACAGGAACACTGAAAGATCAGAAGACTGATTACCTCCCTGTGGATGAACAACGCGAGGCTGCACAAATGAAGGCTTCACCACCTCAAACCACCAGAAGAGTTCTGCCATGAACACAAGATAATTACTCTGGCAAGAGAATTAAGGAAATTAAAAGAAAAATTAGGCATATAGCTAAATTATATAAGCATTATAATAGATGCTTAAAAATGCTCAAGCCAATAGTAATCCAGGAACTAAATAGCAAGAAGGTTGATGGGCTGTCTTAGTAATTTAGAAATAAAACATTTATATAATTTACCTAATTTGAAAAGTCATTAGTAAGGATAAATCAACAAAGTCACTATCCTTTTACCATTTATTTTTGAAAGCAATAATTTCTTTCTTCTTTCTTCTGTTTTTTTTTGTTTTGTTTTGTTTTTTTGGGTCACACTGGGCAATGCACAGAGGTTACTCCTGGCTCATGCACTCAGGTATTACTCCTGGTGGTGCTCAGGGGTTCATATGGGATGCTGGTTTTCAAACCCGGGTCGGCCGCATGTAAGGCAAACACCCTACCCCCTGTGCTCTAGTCCTGAAAGCAGTAATTTCTTAAATGTTCTACAAAGAAGATTAAGAGGTTCTTTGGGAGCATATTTCCACCACAAGTTTGTATTTTTAAATGCCTACATAAAAGCTATAAACATAAATAATTATTTTATTTATAGAATTTGGTAAATTAAAAAACAAAACAAATCCTCTTATAATAATTTGAAGTAACATCATGCCTTTTAAATTCTGGGTAACTGGCATCTAAGAAAATTTTTATTATCAAACTGATTAATATTTAACAGATGAGTTGCTTCAGAGTGAAATTTGAGCACAGTCAGGAGTAAGGCCTGATCACCACTGGGTTTCGTCCAGAAACAAACAAAAATCTGGGGCCATACAGAGTGCTCTAGGGACTGAAGCCAGGCTGGCCACTTGCAAGGCAAGTGCTCTACCTGCAGTCCTATGGCTCCAGAACCATGATTAACATTGCCTGAGAGAACAGCAGTAGCAGAGACAGAAAGGGCTCAGCAGACCAGAGAGCAGACTGTGCTTGCTGCAGGCCCCATGTTCCAACCCTGCACCACATGGGTTTCCAGATGACCACCAGGAGTGAACCTGGGGCACCAACCTGGAAAAAGACCCTGAGCATTACTGGTGTGCATCCCCCAAAACAAAATAATTAACAGAACAACAGTAACAATGACTTCAAGTAAGGAAGTATGAAATATTCGAAAGCAAGAAACAAATGGCTAAAACATTGGGTTCTTTTTAAAAAGTCTCATTTCCAGATTATTTCAGAGTTTTCTTCTCTTTCTTGGTTTTTGTCTCAAGTTCTAGGACCTGAATGATTTCACACTCCCAGATTATTCTATCCTCCCACTGAAAGCGTTAACTAGTTTTCCCATTGGGTTCATATTGTACTATATGATGTCAGCATTTATCTATGACCCACAAACAGCTTATTACCCTCACTTTGCTAACAGTACAAAGACATCAGTATAAATAATCTAATAGTATTGGGGCCAGAGAGATAGCTCTCCCTAAGCATGCCAGGTGTGGCCCCCCAAATACCCACCCCCAAATCTTAAGAAAAGATCTCAAAAAGAACATTTACAGAATGTTGAATTTAAACATCAAACTTTGGTTTCAAAAACTTTTTTGGCTAAGAAAAATAACAAATGAAATAACAGCTATAGTTAATTTTAAATGCATAGGTCATTTACGTATCTAATCGATTTTCAGCAAACTTAATGCAAAGGAAAAAGAATAATTTACCTTTATGGATGAAGCAGCATACAGCATATCTTCCAGGGTAAAATGGCAACACTGATTCAAATACTCTTGGCAAAATTCTTGAATCAACTGTAGATTATACAGGCTATCAGCCAAGGACATTGTTTCCTTCAAGCAAATATCTTGAAATAGGAAAAAAGCAGGGTAATGAATTTGTGTTAATTTGATAATATCATTTCTTATCTCCCTCCCTCTCCCTCTTTTTTTCTACTCCCCTTCTTTTCTCTCTCTCCCTCTCCTTTTCTCTTTCTACATGTGGCTGTCCTCAGAGCTTATCCATAGTGGGCTCTGGGGACCATAATGGGTGCTGGGGATAGAACCCAGGTCAGCTGTGTACAAGGTGGGCATCCTACCTGCTGTCCAATTCTCCAGCCCTCATAGTCATTTCATAATTAGTGACTTGGTAAAAATACATAATTATATGCCATCTATTTAACATACACACACACACATACACAGAGCAGCCTCTACTTTTCTCAACTCTCTTCCTATAATTTTCTGTAAATATTCTTTTGAAAAGGCTTCATTATGTTAAATGTTATCTTCAAGATTTACCACTTACTTATAGTTCAGAAATATTTAATTGGGGCACTTACCCTCTAATCTGATAACACCAGGACAATAGAAATGAATAAGGGCAGCTAAAGCACAGCCATCTGTACCATCTTTCAACAAATTTTCTACCAATGGAATGCAAGGTAATTGTTTAAGCAGTGTTTGCTCTTTCCGGTAACGAGCCTGCAATATAAAAATGAAAAAACACAACTATTAAACAACATATAAGAAAAAAAGTGTTGTAGATTCTAACGTATCCATTATAAAAGTCAATAAAAATAAGCACCAACATCCTTTTTTTTTTTTAACCTTTTGGGTCACATCTGGCAATGCTCAAGGGTTATTCCTGGCTCTGCACACAGGTATCACTCCTGACGGTGTTCAGGGGACCATATAAGGACATGGGGATTGAACGTGGGTCAGTTGCATGCAAGGTAAATGCTCAATCCACTGTACTACCTCTCTGGCTACCAATATCTTTCTTTAGAAATAATATCTATGATCTATTTCTTTACTAAAATTAAATACATAGCACAGCACTACAGTTTAGACATTAAATACTGTAACATACTGTTAACTTACATAAACCTATTTTATTGAGTTTTTATTAACTATGGATTTGCAGAGGTTCACAGATGTTCAGTATCCCCCATCCCCATGACCTGAGTTCCAATCATACCACTATCAAAAAGACCCATCTCTTCCTCACCCCTTCCTGGTAGTTCCAGAGTAGGAATTAGTTTTGTTGGGTTTTGCCAATTCATTCACTTTAGTTATTCAGTACCTGTCTTCTACTTTCTTATTTCACTAAGTATAATCACCTTAAGCTCCATCCATTTTGTACAAAAACAGTCCAAATATTAAAAAACTTACACAGAGCCAGCAGTAATGAAAGGTTAGCTATTTAGAGGATCTACTAGATCCTCTAAAACCAAGAAAAATACTGAAGAGTTCATAAAAGGGCATACTCAAATACTACATTAAATTTAATTATATTGGTTACTGATAGTTAAGTAGTCTTAAAAAAAATCTTTTAAACTAACCTTTATTGGATAATTAAAATATAATAAAATAAAAAACTTGTGAGAATAAAATAGAAAAATAATTTACTCAAAAAGAATATTCAATATTTGGAGGTAAGGCTAGATTTCATTTGGATTTATATTGGGGCCTACCTGGGAATGCTCAGGGGCCACTCCTGGGTCACTGTCTAGGGACCATGAGATACCAAGTGAAAGAGACATTTACTCTCATATCTCTCTGGCTACTCAAGAATAAAACGAGGGGTCAAGGAGAAAACATAGGAATTAGGGCTACATGTCTTGCATGTGCCCAACTCGGGTTTGATCCCTAATGCCACATGGCCTATCTAAGCAGAGCTGGGTGCGCCCCGAGGTTCCCCGAGTAACACATATATACATATTTACTTATTTATTTTTGAGTAATGCCCGTGAAGGCTCCCCACAAAACAACAAAGTTTGGGTAAAAAAAAACCAGTCCCTCCTCTTGAAGAATTTTGGAAGAATTTGGAAGAATTTGCTCATGAACCAGTGTGATTATATCTCTTTACTAATTTTTTTCTAAGCCCATATTTTTTTAAAAATTAGACATCTATATTTAATGGTATATTCCAAACTATGCCTGTATTTAGAAAAAAATTACTTACATGCACTATATAAAGTCTTTAATTGATTACTGAGTTTTACAGAATCCTTAGAAAGATTCCTCACTTTGCTGTTAGGAGACTGTTTAAAAATCAACCATAAAACAAAACTAAACAAAAAAGAGGAGAGAAGAGGGATGAGGGGAGAGGAGAGCAAAGGTGAGAGAAGGGAGAGATTAAAAAAAAAAAAAACCAAAAAATCAACCAAACAAAAAACCTGAAATCAACCAGTAGCATCTTCTAGCTTTCCCACATTTCATAAGCATAGTTCCAGATCCTTACACCTTTTACAAATTTTGGTTTGGGGGCCACAACTAGTGGTGCTCAGGGGTTACTCCTGGCTCTGTACTTAGGGATTACTCCTGCTGATGCCTAGGGACAATATGGGATGCTGGGGATTGAATTCTGGTTGGCCACATGAAAACCAAGTGCCTTAGCCCACTGTACTACTGTTAGTAGTACTGTTACTACTGTTAGTGTACTGTTAGTACACTGTACTACTGTTCTGGCCCCTTCTTACAGCTTTTAATCCGGCCAATTAAAATAATACTGTCTCTTAGAAATGCTATCAAATCACTGCGTTCAGTCTCAAAGTTACCAGATCTCCAAGACAAGGTTGATTTTTGGCCTACAGTCTAATCTGAACTGAGCTGAGTGCCTAGGGTCTTGAAACAAATGAATTGTGTAACTTTTTCTGATGCAAAAAAAAAAAAAATCCTCAAAAAAAAAAAACAAAACTTCTAAAGATCGCTCCCAAGAAGCACCTCTATACAATGCATGCACATGCACACATGCGCATGCGTGCGCACACACACACACACACACACTCACACAGTTTTACTTGGCTTTAGTTATGAATGTACACAGTTTAGAAAAGATATTTATGATTGGCATGCCAAAATCTTTTCCTGAATATTACAATCTAAAATATGTATCAGATAAACCAACTTTTTGCTTTTTGTCACGTCAATTCTTGGAAAGCTATTATTCAGTTCATTCAAGTTTTGACTTTTCGGGGTTTTTTTTGGCTTACACCTGGCAATGCTCAGGGGTCATTCCTGATTCTGCACTCAAGAATCATTCCTGGTGGAATGCCGGGAACCCAGATCGGCTACATGCAAGGCAAGAGCCATGTTTCCATCTTGATATTGGAACATGTTCTATGTTTTACAAACTAACTGCTCTGAAACATTCCCTATTCTTCCCACAAACCTGGCACTTCCAAAGTGTCTCAGATTTGTATTTTTTGACATTATGATGCATTTCTGATTTATGCTTTCATGGGCATAAAATATTCTAAAGCAAGTCGTCCCTCCACCCAACAGCCCTTGCCACAAGACTTAAACCTAAATTACTAATAACCCTTAAAGTCAAACCAGTATGAATTATCATTTAGGTCTAATACTAGTAAGGACATTGAAAACCTACAGATTTTTTTTTAACCACACAAAAAGCATACTCTATAATTCAAACTAAAAAGGATCTTTTCAAAATTAAGTTATAAAATACAAATAACTTATCCATGTAACTCTTATTTACTTTTACTAAATTTATTAGGACTCCCCTCCATAATTCGCACTTGGTTTTTAATCTGTCTATTTCACGGTACCAGGCATAGAACTCATGGTCTCACACACATGAGGACCAGCTCTACTGCTGAGCTACATTCCTGGTTATCTATATTCACACTTTAATTTTCCCCCTGTTTTCTAGTCTTGTGCAGCAGATTAAGCTCCAGGCTTAATCCTGGCTATGTGTTTGGGGAAACACAGGGGGTGCTGAAAATCAAACCTGGATCAGTTGCATGCAAGGCAAGTGCCCTCACTATCGTACTCTCTCTCCAGCCCCTAGTCTGGGAATATTGACAAGATAAGCAAAAGGTTGTATACCCTTTAAATTATTTTTTGAACTTCTATTCCACACTTTAGTTAGATTTTAATTTTTCCATTTTCCATTTATAATCAAATACCTTAAAATTCAATCTCTATGCATTGTATCAAATGATACAGCAGCAAAGGCATTAACCCCTACAATTACAATTCTGGAAAGCAAATTGAAGTAGCTGGATAAACTTACTGGAACCAGTTTCCAAAACCATTTGGAAGGAGACTTCAGAGAAAGCAGGGAGAAAAAAAAAGGAAAGCAAAATGTAAAAGTAAAGTTATCAGAATTATTTTCAATAAACATGTTACGAAAGCTTCTAATATGGAGCCCCAAACTTATAGTCCACACATCTTTTAGATGTTAATGCTTTAGTGAAAAATATATTTTCTAATGATAAAGACCACCACTTTATCATCCCCCTTTTTTCCCAGTATAAATTTTCATTTTCAGAATACCAAGATATATTGTGTGTTTTCTTTTTCTTTTTTTTTGGGGGGGGGGGGGTGTCACACCCGGCGATGCACAGGGATTACTCCTGGCTCTGCACTCAGGAATTATCACTGGCAGTGCTCAAGGGATCATATGGGATGCTGAGAATTGAAGCCAGGTTGGCCGCCTGCAAGGCAAACATCCTACCTACTGTGCTATTGCTCTAGCCCCCTATACTGTGTGTTTTAGCAGTAAACTTTTTTTATTCAAGTTCTAAAGTCAGGTAAGGAAATTTGTATCACAAAAGAAAATCACAAAAGGGAAGTAGAATGAGTCCAGGGCTGAACTTGCAATTACAATATGCAGCAGTAGGTCAAGTATGGCAAGGCAATATTCTTCTCAAAGTGTAAGTGTAAATTGGCACGCTTACTTATTTCAGTAAGTGTGCTGAAAAAGCAAATACAAACACAGCAGTGAACAAGGTAGTTTTTCAACAAAATACCTTCAATTAATTAGAGAGCAGGGGAGAAACACTAGTTGGTGACACTTTTCATTTAACATTTTTATAGTCTATAGCAAGAAAGCAAGTACTTACATTAAAAGGGTATAAGTGTTATTTTACTCTTTAGTGTGTGTTTCAAAGAATATAATTCTGCTTCTTTTAAAGACATAGGGGATTGGGATGTGGCCTGACAGTAGAGCCAAGTCTCACACGTGAGTCCTGGGTTTGTTTGAACTCTAACATCACACACACACACACACACACACACACGAATACAATTTCTTTTTTATTTCTACTAAGTATTTGTTGCATAGCATTCTGAGATACAGCTATTACTGGAAAGAATTTTAATGAATACAACTATTAAAACTGCCCCAGACTGTGAATATGTGAACAGAGTCTCATAAAGGCAATTTCTTCCTCTCTGTAATATATACCTTTTGACCTACTGGAGCTTCGACTGTGTGATGTTCTTTCAATTTCTGTTCTTGCTCCATTATGTCTTTCAAGTGTTCGTTTACCTTCAAAATTAAAAAAAAAAAATTAAAATCGTGGTAGGTTTCAGTATAAAATAATATGCATCTTCAAGAGCCTTTGTCAGATTCTGTTATCAAGGATCGGTATCACTCAAATGGAAACTTCATTTCACCAACCAGGAAAATTAGTGTACAACAGATAACTTATTTTCTCTCTTAAAAACTTGCTCTCCTGACCTGAAGAGCATTTTTTGTTTTGTTTTGTGGGCCACGATTTGCTCGAGTGGGCCCAGTAACGTCTCCATTGGAGACTTTGTTGTTACTGTGTCTGGCAATCGAATACATCACGGGGAGCTTGCCAGGCTCTGCCGTGAGGGCAAGATACTCTCGGTAGCTTGCCGGGCTCTCCGAGAGGGGCGGAGGAATCGAACGATAACACAGCGATGGGGCGTTTGCCTTGCACGCAGCCAACATGGCCGACCCCAGTTCGATTCCTCCGCCCCTCTCGGAAAGCCCGGCAAGCTACCGAGAGGATCTCGTCCGCACGGCAGAGCCTGGCAGGCCACCCGTGATGTATTCGATATGCCAAACACAGTAACAACAAAATCTCCAATGGAGACGTTACTGGGCCCGCTCGAGCAAATCGATGATCAACGGGAGGGCCTTATTATTATTATTATTATTGTGGGCCACACATGGCTATGCTCAGGGAGAAGGCTCAAGCAATTGGAGCACATGCGTTTGCATGCAGGAGCTCTAGATTTGATCCCCTGCACTACCAGTAGTGGCTCCTGAGAATCACTAGTGCAGTGCCCAGAAATAATATGTAAGTAGAATATGAGAGCTGGGAGATCTATTTTGGAAAGAATGGTTCTATCAGAGAAGGTCTCTAGGGGCTGGAGTGATAGCACAGAGCGTAGGCATTTGCCTTGCACGCGGACGACCTGGGTTCGACAGGAGTAATTCCTGAGTGCAGTCAGGAGTAACCCCTGTGCATCGCCGGGTGTGACCCCCCCCCCAAAAAAGAGAAGGTCTCTAAAGAAGTAATGAGAAGCTGAGACCTAAAGATGAGACACTAACTGAAAAGAGGAAAGAGCATTATTCTCGGAGAATAACAAATACAAATAAAGGCCCTAGAAAAAAACTTGGTGGTTGGAAAAATAAAATAGGGACCTAGGAGCTGGCCTTGCATGTAGCTGACCCTGGTTTGATACTTGGGCATCCAAGATCAATCAAATTCAACAGAATGTTTTGGTACTGGTAAGGACCTGGCTTGATTTTTGCTGAAACCTCCCATGTGGTGGGAGTAAAGGTACTCTCTCAAGACATCTTTTATATAGGTCTGGCTATTCCACACCGAAGAGGTCCCCATCATCATCTGTCACATCACATGACCCTACTTTGGTGTGGAATAGCCAGACCTATATAAACTACTATCACAGAGTAGTTCAACATTTCCACAAATGAAATCTAGGCGAACAAAACACTCGGTCTATAGCATGGCAATGTCTAAACAAGGATTTCACCTTCTCTGGTTTTAAGACACTCGCTTTTAATTCAGTATGTATATATTCCTACCTTATTGATCCAGTACATGACAGCATCTTCAATATCATAGGGTAGATCTGTGGCTTGAAAAAAAGCCGAATACTGTTGCGCACACGCAATTACTTTCTCGACACTGACCATTTCTACTGTGTAAGCCATCATTAGGGTATCTATCATAGCCAAATGAGCACTCTGGAAAAAAAAAAGACACAAAATTATGCTTAGAAATTGCTGTTCTGAATATTCTTGCATTGTTTAAAATTTTTTTTTTTGCTTTTTTTTGGGGGGGGGGCGTCACACCTGGCGATGCACAGGGGTTACTCCTGGCTCTGCACTCAGGAGTTACTCCTGGCAGTGCTCAGGGAACCATATGGGATGCTGGGAATTGAACCTGGGTCGGAGGCGTGCAAGGCAAACGCCCTACCCGCTGTGCTATCTCTCCAGCCCCTAAAATTTACTTTTTAAAACTGAATCACAGTGAGATAGTTACAAAGTTGTTCATGATCGGGTTTCACTCATATAATGTTCCAACACCCATTTCTACACAAGTACGTATTTCCTACTACCAATATCTCCAGTTCCCGCTTGTGCACCGCTGGACCCCCAACCCCCCATGGAAGGCACTTTTCCTCTTCTCTTCCTCTCCCTATCTTCTTCCCTCCCTCCCTCCCTTCTCCCCCTATCTTCCACCCTCCGTCCCTCTTTCCATCCTCTCCCCCCGACCCCCGTCAACCCTTTCCTTTTGGGCATTATGATTTGCAATATACTACTGAGGGGTTCCTCTAGGAGAGCCCGGCAAGCTACCAAGAGTATCTCGCCCACACAGCAAAGCCTGGCAAGCTACCTGTGACATATTCGATATGCCAAACACAGTAACAAAAAAATCTCACAATGGAGACATTACTGGGCCTGCTCGAGCAAATCGATGAACAACGGGAGGACAGTGCTACAGTGCTACTGAGGGGTTATCACGTATATCCCTTTACCTACTTTCAACACTCAGTTTCTATTATTGTCATACTGGTCCCTTCTCTATCCTAACCTTTGACTCCCACACACTTGTGGCAGGCTTCCAACCACTGACCAGTCCTCTTGACCCCTGTTTTCTCTGTCCTTGGATATTAGTCTCATACTATTTTATTTTTTTTTGCTCTTGCATTTTAAAATATTAAATGTATTTTCAAAAAAAAGGTAAAGGTAAAGGCCCTCCCATTGTTCATTGATTTGCTCGAGTGGGTCCAGTAACGTCTCCATTGGAGACTTTGTTGTTACTGTGTCTGGCATATAGAATACTCTCGGTAGCTTGCCGGGCTCTCCGAGAGGGGCGGAGGAATCGAACTCGCGTCGGTCATATTGGCTGCGTGCAAGGCAAACGCCCTACCGCTGTGCTATCGCTCAAAAAGTAAAATACCAAAAGACTCTGGAAGGAGCACCTTAATAAGAATGCATCTGTGTTATACTTTAAAGATGAGCTAGCCTGAGCCAAAGAGATAGTACAGGGGATAAGGTGCTTGCCTTGCACACGACTGATCCCAGTTTGATCCCCAACACTGTAAACGGTCCCCCAAGCACCAAAGTGACCCATGAGCAGCACAGAGCCAGGAGTAAGTCCCAAGCAAATAGTGCTGGATGTGGACTACCCTCACAATAAGGAAAACAAATTAACTTAAAAAAAAAAAGCTACGTTAACCTAATTTATCAAATACTGAATTAGTATGTTTAAGGTATTATATTTTACTCAAAGGAAACTTCTTTTCCCTGTTTTTTTTTTTTATAATGGATTATTCAGCACAATTTACAAAACACAAAATCCTTTTTGATTATGCTCCTTCCTCCTCCTTCAAACACAGAGTGGGAAATTTACTCACTGCATGTACTTCCAAAATGCTCTCATATCTAACCTTAATTTAGTTTTGTTTTGATTCCAAATCACACAATCAATACCTGTCATAACTGAAGATAAAAAATTCATTTTCCTGGCCCCAACTTCTTGATTCCACTGATCCAGGACAGGACTTCATATGGACTTTTATTTCATATGTCCATTATATTTTGTTAATGTAAATTTTAATTTTATTTTGGGTGGGGGTTAGGTTGGGATCCACATCTGGCAGTGCTGGCTCCATGCAAAGCAAGCAACACCCTTTTATATCTCTCTGGACCCTATTTTGGTTTTGTTTTGGGGCTATACCTGGTGGTACTCAGGCCTCATTCTTGACTCTATGCTCAGGGGTCACTCCTATCAGCGCTCAGGAGACCATATGTGGTGCCAGAGAACCTGCATTGGCTGTCTGTCAGGCAAGCACCTTATTTCTGTCCTATCTCTGACTCTGGCCACTGCTGTTTTTTCAGATTTTTTAAAAAGTTATATGGTAGTTACATTTGGAGTATATAAAAGAGTATCCCCTGTGGTAGTATCTACACATCTAGTGTATATTCTTTCCTTTTAGTGGGGGAAGGCACACCCAGAACGCAAGGGCACCACTCTTGGCAGTGCTCCAGGGACCCTGTGGTGCGAGGGATGGAACATAGGCCTCCACAATCAATTCCTCTAAGACATAGCCCCTGGAAGGAATTTTTTGCAAAAGAAGAAAAAAAAATTCAGTACACATCAAATAAGAGATTTTTTTTGATTTACTGTTTTTTTTTTTCTTTTTTTTAAGGCATTACAAACAATTTTTCCAGGTATAATTTCTCCTGTGGAGTTAAAGGGCCCCAAAGCAGCTACATTTTAACATTTGAGCTGGGGATGGAGTTCAGTGGTATTCCCTGGCCCCCTACAACTGAATCCTGCCACCATTCCCCAGCCTTGTTCAATCCCCAGCACATACAATTTCCAGGGCTGGAGAGAGAGGTAGTACAATGGGTAGGGCATCTGCCTTGTGTGCAGCTGACCCAGGTTTGATCCCCGGCACCACCCTGAGCCCTGTCAGAAGTGATCTCTAAGTGCAGAACCAGGAGTAAGTACTGAATACCATTGGGAATGGGCCCCCCAAACCAAAAAAACCCTAACAACTTTATAAATTATGATTAATATGTTCTCCAGATATACTGTAACAAGTTTCCTCCCCTATCAGGAATGTTACCAGTGTCCCAGGTCAACATTAGGTATCACTGTCGGTATTAGTTTCAAAGTCAAAAAACAAAACAAAACAAAACAAAAACAAACAAAGAAAAAAAACGCAACCCAACCGACTCTGATTCAGCAGCTTCCATGTTAGGCAATCATTCCTATTTTCCTTGGAAAATGGCTTCTTTGTTCATATGTATTTTTTTCAGTTAGGATGCTTTTATTTCTTGATTTGTAAAGGCTTCTAAGTTACTTACATTACTGTTATTCAATTAGCAAATACTTTTTCCTAGCTTATCTTTGGATATTTAACTTATAAAAAAAGTGTATTTTATAGGACATAAGATCTAAATATTTACAGAGTAAATATGTGTCGATCTCAATGGTCTTTATGATTTAAAATGTTCTCTCTCTTTCTCTCCCCCTCTCTCGGAGGGGGGATGCGCACACCTGGTGGTACTCAGGGCTTACTCCTGGCTCTGCACTCAGGGATCATTCCTGGGGGGTTTCGGGGGCCCTATGGGGAGCCAAGTATTGGACTGGTAGCATGCAAGACAAGCACCTTAACCCGTGTATTCCTCTCTCTAGTCTGAGCACTGGTATTTAAGGAAAAACTCCAGATGATGCTAAATAATGAGAGCAGCCACTGGAAAAACTGACTTATCTCACGGTGCTACACCTAAGGCCGTGGATGTGGCAGAGTGAGTCAAGAGCACCTGCCTCACATGAAGGAAATCTGGGTTTGATTCCCACCACCCCCCACACCCAATTACCAAAAAACCAACCAACCAACCAACCAAATAAAAACAGAGTCACCTGATGACAACTCAACTTCTTTAGTTAGCCCGCAAGACAACTGAGGGCAAGTATAGCGCCTTGAGCATTTTCCCATGTCCTGCACCTACCATGATAGCTGGCAAGCAGCGGGGGCTGAAGAAAGGAAGAAGGAAAGAAAAAAGAAGCCAACCTACTGATGCTCCCTCTAAAGATGACGGTTTTACATTGGAGATGAGGAACTGGCTTTGACTATAGGACCAGGACATTGAAAACTTAGCAATTTTATTCAATATGAATACAGTTAATAATCACAATACTTAAAGGCAAGCAGATGTTTTGGCAAGTAGATAGACGCTTTGCTTCAGGCATGATGCAATGGTAAAACCAACAGTGACTCTTAGTCTTAGCTTACATGCCAGGTACTGTTACGTGCTTTATTCAAACATTAGCTCTTCCATCTTTGATCTGTTCTGAAATAATGCTGTAGACAGTCTACATTTTCTATAACCCTCCCAATTCTCTGCAGGGCTATTTAAATTTTATATGTAAGTACATAAAGTTCAAATCATGAAACAATTCTCCAAATCTATGTGTTCTACTGGACCATACAAGTGGCAGGTATTAAATAGTTTAGGCAAGACATGTTTTGGGAACTATAAAACATAAGAAAGAAAAACTAGCGCCAATAATTATTTCAAATTCAGATATTTTCGTATTTTTCTTCCTTCAGGAAGTTGTTCCGGACTAGTCCTACTATTTGGAGATGCCAGCTCTTCCTCAGACTTCTACAGGCACCCTGAATCCACTTAGCATGGCCTTTCACTCGATATATCTAGGTGTGTCTGTTCTATTTCACTCTGCCCTAGAAAGTAACGAGCTGATCTTACAATACAATGCTGTATGGACGAAAGCTCTTAGCAACTAGGATTTAATAGCATTAAACAGCATTAACTCTCGGTGGGGAAAGCATTACTCTTCTGAACAAAAATGTGGAAAACATTACAAGAGTCATAAAAACATTCATGTACTTTAAATCAAGACTCTCGTGGCAATTTTATCTACAGATATAATTTGAAAAAAAGCAGTATGAATAGAATTAACCATTATAGTACTATAAATAAAAAGAATGGAAAGAATGTTACAACCATAATGAGAATTTTTTTTCTTTGCTATCTTATACCATTTAACAATAGGGGAAACTGGGCAGAATAAAATATTTAGTGGAGAGCCAGAAAGATAGCATAATGGTTAAGGCACTTACTCTGCATGGGGCTAACCCTGGTTCTATCCTTGTACTACAATAATCTCTGAGCACTGAGATCAACAGAGACAGAGAGACAGAACT